GAGTGATTCTATACATTTGCACTCAGATTCATCTAGTATTTCCATTTATCATAATTAATGTATAATTAGTAAAATAATTGTTAAAACTAAGTATAGTATAATTGTTAAAACTAAGAAACCAGACATGCTATGTTACTGGTTGACTAAACTCCAGTTTTTATTTGGATTCCACCAGTATTTCCCCTACTGTTTTTTTTCTACTCCAGCATCCAGGAGATGGCACCACACTGCATTTAGTTGTCTCATCTTTCTGGTCTCATCTGCTCTGTCAGTTTATTTCTGTCTTGTTTTTCATGACTTTCACAGTCTTAAAGGGCACTGGTTGTGTGTTTTTTAGATTGTCCCTCAATTTAGGTTTGCAGGTGATTAGGCTGTGGTTATGGATTTGAGGAAGTGTTATGGCTTATATCTAGATGTTCCCTAAAGTCTCATGTGCTCATAGCTGGGGCTTTCTGGAACTGTCTGGATCTATAGGCAGGTGTATGATAATCAGATTAAGGGTGATACTGAATTAGTCCACTGATGGTAATTATCATAGTTCTTGGTATGGGTGAGAAGATTTACTGAAGGCAGAAGCCCCACCCTGGGTATGGGTGACACTAACCAAAAGGCTTGTAGCCTTGATTGGAAAAAACAGAAAGACAGACTTGCTGCTGCTGCTTGCTGCTTCCTACCTGCTACCTTTCTACCATGGACAGTTTCTCCTCTGTGATGCCCCTCTGTCATGCCACCCTGCCTTGGAGCCAGCCAATTATGGACTGAAACCTGTACAAATTGTGAGCTGAAATAAACCTCTCCTCCTCTAACTTGTGGATGTCAGGTATTTTGTCTCAGCAACAAGAAAGTAACTGAGACAGGAAGCATGTGCAGAAGTGAATGACTCTTATCATATCACATCCAGGTACATGTGGCTTATCACTGGTGCAATGTGTTAGGCAGTTCAGGCTGGCCTCAAACTCACTATGTGGCCCAAGCTGGCCTCGAACTCATGCTGATCCTCTTGCCTCAGCCTCTTGAGTGCTCGGATTACAGTGGTGCAATGATTTGAATGCATTTCCTGTATTATTCAACGTTCTGTTACTGTGACAAAATACCTGAGACATAACTTAAAAGGAGGAAAGGTTTATTTTGGCTCACAGTTTCAGCCCAAGGTTGTTTTTCCTTATTGCTTTGAGCCTATGGTGAGGCAGAGACTCATGGGGGGAGTTAGTGATAGAGCCAAGCTGTTCAGTTCATGGCAGCAGGGGAGCAATGAGAGAAAGGAGGGGCTGAGGTCCCAATGTCCCCTTCGAAGGCATGTCTCCAGTGATCTAACTTCCATTAGTCCCCATCTCCTAAAAGTTCCACCCTCCCCACAGTGTCACAAGCTGTAACCAAGCCTTCAACATATGGCCTTTGGGGAATATTTAGTATTCTAACTATAACACACCCCCTCCTGAACTTCACGTGTTGGAAACTTAATCTCCAAATTTATGTGGTGATGATTTAGAGGCAGGGCCTTCGGGAAGTAATTGGGATTAGACAAGTTCATGAGAGTGGAGCTTGCATGGTGGCATTAGTGAGTTTACAAGAAGGGGATGAGGCCTGAGCTGGCACACTTGCTCTCAGTGGTGCCCTCTGACACATTATGATGTAGGAAGAAGACCTGCACCAGCTACTTAGCAGATGCTGGTACCATGGTTTTAGATTTCCAAGACTTCAGAATCTGGGCTAAATATATCTCTGTCCTTTATAAGTTACACAGTCTATGGTATTTTGTTATAGCAATAGAAAATGGACTAAGACAATTAGTGATGTTACCTTTGATCACTTGGTTAAGGTGGTGTTTTCCGTGTTTATTATAAGGTTACCTTTTTACCTTCTTCATATTCTAATCTTTGGAAGTAGATCGCTAAAGCCACATGAGGGAGAAGAGAGGGAAAGAATGTGTAAAATAGACCCCACTTCTTGGAGCAGGGAAAATCTACATATATTATTTGAATAATTTCATAAGATTTATCTCTTCCCCCCATTTATTAACCTATGAAATCATTTTATATCAGTATTATAGATTTATGTGTATTTATTTATTTATTTATTTAAAGCTGTCTCATTTATTATTTAGGCTATTTAGGTAGTATACTTATATTAAAAATGGAAGCGAATTTTTCAATTGCTTTTAAAAAAAGTAAATAGTAATTAATTAATTTACTGTTATACTCAAAATCGTCTACGTTTAAGGTGAGAGAATCTTTGCCAATAGAAAGGCGCTGCTCCAAATTGCAAGTGGTATTACGAAGAGCTGCAATCTCTTTGTTTTTTTCTTCTTGAAGATGTTGAAGCTTCCTTCTGTAGATACTCTGTGGGGGAAATAGTAGCATCTGGATATGGTTTTGACTTAGTCTGAACTCTTGGTAGTTTGGCATCAAACTCCAGCTGTAGTTTGATTATTTCATTTTGCTTTTCTTTTTCTTGAGTTATTAACTTTGCATTTAACTCTGAGATTTCCATCTCCTTTTTCTTTATTAGATCTTTGTGCTTTTCTTCATTTAATTCAACTTTTTTCTGCATATCTTGATAAAGTTTTCTTATTTCTATCTTATGTTCTTCCTCTTTGATTTTCATTTCATGTACAAGTTTGGCAATATTATTCTTATAGTCCTGTCTGTGAGATTTCAGCTTTTCCCTTGTCATATCAGCATTTCTTTTTAGTTGTTCATTTTCACCTCTCAAATTGTGTTGATATTCAATGGTCTGTTGTAGCCCTTTTATCATATCATGAAGAGCAGCACATTTTGCTGTTGTTCCTGGTTCCTCAAAGTCTCCCCTGTGTGTATTTATTTTATACCTTAGGTTATAATACAGTGCTTTATTTTGTCACTGTTTGTAACTTTCCCATTAGGAGTTCTTTCAGATTGACTCCTGTGTCTCTGACATTCCCTATTTTATTTTTGAAGTATTTCTTATTTTCTGGCACTACAGATGCTCCAGGCCCATTTTATGTGTTTCCATGCCCAGCCAAAGACCTAGATTTTTCTCTAAGGAGCACTGTTTTTGTTTTGTTTTTTAGAGAATGGTATTCGAAACCGAGTTCTGGTCATTGAGTGTGCTCATTGCTACTGGATTGTTATGACTTCTATGTCCTGTCCAGTTAGCAGAGGTAGAAAATACGAGCCTGTTTACAAACTCAAATAGAGTATGTCTATACTTATTTCTGTACCTATTCATTTCTCTGTATGTTAAGCTTAAGATTAGAGCATACTTATGTCTCCAACTCTAACTCAATGCCACAGGGGTCATTCTAGCCTTTCTCTCTTGCTTATTATAAACAACTCCCTTCTCTAACAGTAAGAAAGCTGGTTCCCATTGACCCCCAAACATTTACTTAATTGTTCAATCCCAGGACACAGAAGTGTCCAAGTTATTAACCCCTATCTACATGACACTGGTCTACTTTTAAATCTGTGTTCTGTTCAATTAGCCTATTTCTCTATTTGTTTACCACTATCCTTCTAATTTGATTATTGTAACTTTGATATAGATCTTCATGCATGATAAAGCAAGATCCTCTTTTATCTTTTTTAAACTGACTTAGTCATTCATACGACCTTTCAATACAAATTTCTCATGTTTTGTTGCTTAATTTTGATAGGAATGACAATTCTAGAGTTTAGTTCAAGAAGAATTAACAAATTTAAAATATGAAGATATTCTTCCATGAACTTAGTATGCTTCTTTTTATCTTTTTTTGATAGTGTATGTTTGTGATCCATAATAAGTATATTTATCTTGGGAAACTGGTACATAAAATTTTGCATCTTGATACATAGTATGGTTCTTTAGATTTTCTTTTATAATTTTCTCCTTAAAGGTGTTATGAAATCTTTTCTAGATTAATTCTGAGATAATTTACAGGTTGTGTTTGTAAATGACATCCTGTTGGCTATAACACTTTAAAATTAGCTATTGTTAGCATAGAGACAATGCTATTGATTTTGGCAATTTGATCTTATATGTGACAACCTTGCTAAACTCTTAGTTTGTATTTCAGTTGAATTTTTGAAGTAGAAAAAATAATTAATCTCTTCTAATTTTCCCTCTTTTATTTTATTGTCTCAATTTATCTCTCTAGCCATGACCTATAGTAACAATAGCATAGACAGTGAGCATCTCTGCTTTCTGTTGTTCCCAACCATAATTCAAGTGCATTTAAGTTTTTCTATAATAGATGATGACTGCTACAGGTTTAGGGGATATACTGTGTAGTCTGAAGCAAGTAAAGGATGTGCCTTCTATTCCTAGTTTTATATAAACTTTAAAACCCACAGATAGGCATTTTATACTGCTTTTTTTCCATCTAAGGTAATAATTGATTTTTTCTTTGATTTATTAATGTAGTGAATTATATAGATTTAAACCATCCATACATTTCTTTTCTAATGCAGTGTTGGACTCAGGCAAAATTTTATTTACATACATATGTTTATAATTGAAGTAAGACCATCATATTTTTACTTTGCATTATCTTTAGTTGGTTTTGTATTTAAGTCTCTGTTAGCCTCATGAAATGTGCTGGGGTATTTTCCATCTTTTCTGTTTTCCAGAACAAACTAAATAAGGTAGGGATTTTGTTTCTTAAAAAATCGTTGTTAGAATTTACCTGAAAAATATACCTGAACTTTGGGAAAGGCTTGATTGTTGACATATTCAAATGTTTTAGTGTTTTTTAAAAGCCATTTTTGGAATTTTACCCTTTTCAGAAATTTTAGTTTTGAAAGTGTTGAGTAAATAGGTGTTTATAATTTTTTATTTTAAAATATATGTGATTTGTGTGCTAATTCCCTAATTTACCTCTTTTTTTGTATTCTTTTTTAACCTTCCTAATCAATCTTACCACCAGTTTATGCATTTAATCCAAAAAGCACAAACAACTAGGCTTTGTGAAGGTTTATCAATATTCTTTTTTGTTCCACGTACACATGCAGTTTTATTGTAACAAAGCAACTTGTACACTTTGAACTATTAAAACTGCACATCACCTTTTCCTTTCCAGTGAAAACAAAAAGAATTTAAAAATAAACCAACAAAATTACAATAGAGAATGTCAATTCCAAATAAGACTCTACAGGTTCTGCTGATTCTCCCATCAAGTGGCAAGGCTCAAGTCATCATTAGGAGAGGATTTTATTTTAAAAGTGTCATCTTAAACTGCAAGGATGTCTGTTAACATCACAAGTAAACATGCCAAAGGAGAAGCCATGTTGTCAAATGCCCGCTTAACCCACCCAAACATCTCAAACCCACCCTTTGCTGACCTTCTATACCCCATTTTTAAAGTTTTTTTTTCTTTTATTGAACAAGAGAAAGTAGACAGGTACGTGTGGGTAAATGCTAACTGTCCATATTCACATAGAGACACAGTGTAATCTTTGAGCCCAATATACAGAGAAAGGAGGAAAAGAGCTAGACTTCTACGCACTACCACACAGGGCCGAGCGCCCTTCAGCTTCCCGCAAAGTGAAGGGAGCGGAAGGGTTTTCTCTTTTCCCACAGAGCATGGTGGTGTGGATTCCATACAGTTTGTGTAAGGCAGGAGGGGATCAAAATGAATTTAGGACAGAAGGTTGCAGAGACCCTTTTCCCATTGTATTCTGCTCAAGGTATCTCCCCACAAAGTAAGTCAAGAACCATGGTGTTTGAGAAAAGACTTCAAGAACAGGGCGACTGAGCACAAGAGGGGGAAAAAAGACTACAACTTGCTCCCAGGGACTGGAGAAAATTAAACAAGGCAAAAAAGAAGGTTGGAATCCATCAGTGTTCAATTAGTCATCTTCTCCTTCATTCTCCTCTCCTTCCTCCCCTTCATTATCATCTTCATCTTCTTCACCTTCATCCTCATCCCCTTCTTCATCAATGTCTTCCAATCCTTCTTCTTCTTTATCATCTCCTCCTCCTCCTCTTCCTCTCCTTCTCCTCCTCCTCCTCCTCCTCCTCCTCCTCCTCCTTCTTCTTCATCATCACCTTCTTCTCCTTCCCCTTCCTCGTCATCCATATCAGGAACCAAGTAGTACTGCAAGGGATTTGGCCAAATATCATCTTTGATGACCTCTCCTAACTCATCTGCACCCGCATCAGAATGGTCGGTAAACCAGGTAAAGAAGCTCTCAGGTTCTCCATGCTGCCTCTTTCCCACTGGCTTCTGTGTTTGACTTGAATGTTTCGGCAAATCCTTTCCAGATTTCCATCTGATTTCAGTGGACTTTGAAGATGGATCACCACTCTCATTCAGATGAAATTCTTTGGAGAGAACTTTATTTTTGAAGTAAGGATTTTCATCAAAATAAAAATCTATTCTGTATCCTGATTTTATATCTTCAAATTCTGTCACTTCGACTCTGGTCAAATAATTCAACGCCTCTTCGTCTTCCTCCCCAAGCAGTGCAGACACTTGTGGATGGTTAACAAATGTTGTTACCCAAAAATTGGGGATTTTGGCGATCAATTCTGACCTCTTCTGAAAAAATGGTTGGCAGAATGGTTGTTATATTTCTGTTCTACTTTCAATATCTCCTCACTGGCTTGTTCATTAAGTCTGTCTGTTGCATTTTGTACTTCATCAATATGTTCAATTGCTTCTTGTTGTTCTTTTTCTGAGATCTCGTCGGCCCCGTCGTGGTTGGAGTTGAGCTCCTTTTTACTGACTTTGGCCGCGGGCACCGACATGGAGCTGCCCCGCGGTCGGGGTCGGGGGAGCAGGGACAGGGAGAGAGCTATCAATATTCTTTAATAGGTTTTCCTCCAATCTCTTGTAATTGATTTCTGTCCCTATTCTTTTTTCCATATGTATATTTTTATTAGAGCATATTAATTTTATTGAACATTGGGTTTTATTGTGGCATTGTCATACATGCACGTACTGTGGCCTTTATTTTTTCTTCTTAATTCTTTGGGTTTGTTCTGTTGTACTTTTCCCCATTTCTTGATTTGAACATTTATTATTACCTTATCTTCAATCTTTCTTGCACTTTGATGTGTTTAAAACAAACAAAAAAACTCCATTAACCACTGAATTCCACAGATATTGACATATGAAGTCTTTTTTTTTTTGGTACCAGGAATCAAATTTGGGACCTTGTGCTTGCAAGGCAGGCGGCGGAACCACTGAGCTAAATCCCCAGCCCTGTTAAGTATTCATTTTGTTGCCTACCAAGTTTCACAGTTTCCTTTTCTTGCTTGTTTCTGACAGTATCCTATGTAGCTCAGGCTATCCTTGAACTTGCCATCCTCTTGTGACAAAGGATGCCAGGTTACAGGTGTGTACCACACCCAGCTCTCCTTATACCTTCTAAGAATTACTTAGTAGAAATTCTCCCTCTCCTCAGATTAATGGGACTTTTAAAAAAGTATCCTCTTATCAAGGTCTAATTTTATTGTGTGATGGTCAGAGAACATGGTCTACATGATATTGATTTTTTGGAATTTATTGAGGTCTCCTTTGTGACCTAAATTGCTAGTTTTAATGACTCTTCCACTTGCTTAAAAAATGTATTCTCTGTTTGAGGATAAAAAATTCTCTTATAATCTACTAATTTGAAAGCAGTTATTCAAATTTTCTTTTATCTTAAAAATTTCTAAGGATTAACGATGTCAGCATAGTCGACACAATTACTTTGAAATTTAATATCTGATATTTCAATATGTAAATTGAGTACAGCCTTTGCCACATTTTGCTATGTGAAGAATCTGGCCATGAACTCAATCACCTAATGTATCTGAGTGGTCCAGTCTATAACAATGATCATCAATATAATACATATTTATTGAGGACATAGCCTGTGGTAGATTAATTGATGGTTAACTTGAGTGGTAATGCCCGGCTGAACTGAGTCAGCATGGTTCTGGGCATGGAAGACCCACCTGAGGATTATTTCCGGAATGGCATAAAAAGGAGAACAGGAAGGGATGATTGCATGTAGCTGATTTCCCAGAAGCTTGACATAGCTGGTTTTCCTGTGAACTTGGCTGTTCTCATTGAAGGAGCTCAGGTCCTTGCTGTCTCCAGGGATGGCTGCTGTTCTCTTCCGAGGAGCTCTGGTCTTCGCCTTTGTTTTGAGCATCGCTTCCTGGCTCCCGTGCAGATCCCTCAGACTTCTGGTACAGATCCTTCACCCACTGGCACAGGTTTTCTGGCTTCTACCACTGGCCCTTGGGCCTTTCTGGTGCAGATCCTCGATACAGACTTGTGTGAGCCATTACCGTGGCCTCTAGGCCTCCGGCTGGACTTGTGGGGGACATTGCTGTGGGATTCAGGACCTTGGCTGGATTCTGCAGGTCTCTAGTGTGTAGACCGATCTCTTGCACTCCTCTGCATTTGACTTTTTGGGTGAATATTGTAAAATAACGCTATAAATTATGTGTGCTGTTAAATCTCTTCCCTTGCAAACTGAGTACAATATAGCCTATGTAACATTATGTAGTAGGGTCTTTGCATAGTTCCTAAGTGAATCCGAAAGCACATTTTAAAAAAATTAAGGTATGTCCCAAATTATAAAATGGAACATGTGGGCCAAGCATGGTGGTGCATGCCTGTAATCCTAGCACTTGGGAGGCTGATGCAAGGAGGATCGCCACAAGTTTGAGCCCAGCCTGGGGTACTGAGTTCAAGGCCAGCCTGAACTACATAGCAAGACCCTGTCTCAAAACAAAACAAAACAAAACAAAAAAAACAAAAACATGGGATAACAGCTAGAATTCAGACATAGTCAGGTCATTGTTCAGAAGTTTTCTTTTCTTTTTCTATGACCTGCCTCTTCATTCCTTCCTCTCCCTCATTTAATCATGACACAACCTAACTATTAAAATTTCACTTTTGGTGTTATGATCTAAGTGTACTTTTCTTGGGTAGGTGGCAAATTGTTTTTCTCTAACACTTTAAGGTGTCAGAGAATTCTTTATTTTTATTTATACTTTAATTTGCATAACTGTGGACAGAACCAGAGCCTTTGCACTGAACTGTATCTCCAGGCCTTTTTAATTTTTTTGAGACAGTGTCTCATTAAGTTGCTAAATTGCTCATCCTGGACTCAAACTTGTGCTCCTCGGGCTTCAGCCTCCCAGAGTGCTGGGGTTATAGTCATGCACCACCACATCAAGCACATTTATTTTCTGAAGACTAGATGAGAACACTTTTGTTGAGGGAATAGGATATGCAGAAGAGGAAATAAGCCAGTATGTTAGCTCAGGAGGGAGGTGGAAACAGGAAGAAGTCCAGGGAAGACATTTCCCGGGGAAATTAGTTCCACTGGAGCTGTGGGAAGATGCTGGGAAACAGAAAGGTGCAGTGTATGCATGTGTGGGGAGGTAGGTGGGTGAGGACAGAGTAGACTTGGTGGAGTGGTTATTTTATTCCATATTGAACAAGGGGTGCATTTTCTTTCTTTTGGTACCAGGGATCGAACTTGGGACCTTGCACTTGAGAGGCAGGCGCCAGAACCACTGAGTGAAATCCCGGGCCCAAGGGGTGCATTTTCTGCTCTTCAATTTTTCTCACTGAAGGAAAAAAAAAATGGACAAACTTCTTTTCTTTTTTTTTTTTAACTTTAAGGAGCCCATGATAATCTAACCTGGATTATACTAAATAATTCATTGAATTACCACATGGCCTTGTAACATCTCATTTTATCTTGGACACTTGGTTAAATTTTTCATTTTGAATTTATTAGGTGTGTCATATCCTCGATAACAGTGTAAGTCTTTTGTAGGTAAGTAGGTAAACTGTGATACTTTCGTGAGTCTATTAAAGTTGATTATATAAAGCCATGCATGTAGTGTTTTGTTGACTTCAAATGGGGAGAAGCCAGAGGTGGGCTTTTCTTTCCTAGCCCACAGACACTGTGTCCTTCCCTGGGGTTCAAAGTGACTCCCTTTGAATTAATGCATCAATCTTCTTGCAAAACATCAGATAATTAAACTGCATTGATCTCAGTATGTGCCACAATGAAATATTCATCACTAAAGAGATTAGAACTTGCATCAGAGTAGAGAAAGGAATTTCATACCTCTCCTCTCTAGAAAGTGATTGTATTAACAAGCTTTTATCTAGATGAAGTAACACAGGATGAAACTCTTGTATATGCTAATGTTATAATTTTCACTCTAAAAGTCTATGATAAACAGTTTAACATGTCTTACTATGGGCTCTGACTGAGATTATCCTTTTATCCTTTTCCAGAACTTGAATTTAACCTTGTAAGATTGAAATGGAATAAATAAACACATGCTTAACAGATGGAGATGAACTGGCTGGCTTGTAAAGGTTGGATACTTTCCTTGGCTAATTCATCATTGTCCAAGGGTCAGTTCAAAGCTTACAGACTCAGAAATCTGCATCCTGAGGTTTTTGGACACCATTCCAATAGTCAACCTGTCTTCAAGGATAGACTAACATTGACTAAGCTCAAGGCTTGGGTCTATCTACTCGTTGGTATTCATGTTTTTTTTTTTTTTTTTTTTTTTGGTACTGGGGAATGAACTCAGGACCTTGCACTTTAGAGGCAGATGTGGTGCCACTAAGCTAAATCCCCGGCTTGTATTCATATCTTTATAGACACTTATTTATTCAACAAATATTTATTGAGCCCTATGATGTGCCCTGTGGTGTGTGTTCTAGGCAGTAGGAATGGAACACTGAATTTTGTTTTGAGCCCTTATACAGTGCGCATTTTGGTAATGGAGTCTGACAAAAAAAAAGAAAAGAAAACCTAATGTTACCAGTATGTGATAAGGGCAATCAAGGGAAATAAATGGAGGAGGTTAAGAGGATAGTGAAGGATAGGCAAGCAGCGCCCACAGGAAGTGAGTTTGAAGTCTGGCCAGAGTTTCAGAGGGAGGGAACAATAATTAGCACAAAGATCCTGAAGAGCATACTAGCTTAGGATGTCCTATGAACAGTGATGCTCAGTCCTCAACAGACCAGAATATTCTTGGGGACAAATAATAGAGGCCTTTTACATGGAAAGCTAAGACACTATCTGGAGGTTGGTAGGTGAGCTGGGTTTCTAAACAAGGGGTTGTGGCTTGGCACCAAAGACTCAGGGCATTGGTCTAAGTTAGTCTGAAACATGCATCTGTACTTCTGAGCCCTTGCCTGCCATGAAGTGTGTCTTTGGCTAATGCTGGGGTGGATACTGCCAAGTTCTGTCTCTTTAGTTTGGGTCTAGGATTCACTGGATGATTCCTGGTTCCACTCATGAGCTGGGTAACCCTGGAAAGTTTCTCACCCTCCCTAATTCTTGTAAAGCAAACTAGTCCAGAAAGATGGTAATTTCCCTTAGGTTTCACAGACAGAAACTCAATCAGGGCTTTGGACTGTTTCATACCTCTTCTTGTTGCCTCTTTGAGTGGGTCCATTCTGGCAGAAAACAAATTTGGTGACTGTCAATCACAGAGGACAGTATGGACAATGAGAAGTTTGTCTTTAATAATGAGTATTGGCCTTTACAATCTGAGTTTTGAACATATTCCCTTCTCTTAACATTGCTATATTGGCCCAGATCCCCAAGGGATCTCCTTCTGACTTGCCTATGACACATGCATTTTCACAAGTACAATAGCCTTGTAGGCTGGAGGATCACTCAATACCATGTGTTTTTTCACTAGACTCTGAAATCCCAGCAAGCCACAAAAGGCAACATCCTCAGATACTCAAAACACATCTGCTCACAAAACACAAAACTATTTCTTTGGTGGACCTGTCAGAGAATCCCACGAAACCCCAAATTAATCAACTAATGAACTAGTTGGTTATGATTTACTTAAGCACACAGCCAAGTATTGATGAGATCATGTTTAAAAATGCGCCTGTTTTTACTTATTCATCTTTACTTCCACTTTATTTCAGAGCATTTGATGTGGCTCATACGTCACTAATAGCTTACAAAAACACACTGTACTTTTTTTTTTCCTGTCGGAGCAGTTTTTCAAATATTCCATCACTTGCTGTTCACAACAGCCCCAAGGACCGGAAAGGGCTGGCCCTGCTGTATCCATTTTAGTGAGAGCAACTTAGATGTAGCGGCCCCGCACTGCCCAGAGGACTGTCACAGACATCGCTTCGTTTGATCTTCCCCTCGCATCCTGCAGGGCAGAAACAGCGCACGCACTGCTTTCAGTCTGGGGAAGGTCAATCTGTGGCGACAACCTACCAGGAAAGCCGGTCGGGTTCGGGATGTGACGTAAGCTGGGACTGCGGCTTAGGGGCACCCGCACAACACTGGGCTGCGGTTCCCGAACTGGGGTCTTCCAGTAACAAGCCCGCGAGGGAGGGATCCACGCCAGCCAATCGGCAGGGCCTCGAACTGGCAAAGTAGCCAATGCCGGGGCGCGCGAAGCAAGTTTTTCTAGCGACCCCATTAAGCGCGCTCCGGTCAGGAATTGAACTCATCTGCTACTACAATACGCGAGGGCCCGTGTCAGAGCGGTCCCCGAGGGTCTGAGAGTTCCTCCAGCTCAGAGCCCCAGTGGAGTGTCGCTTGGTCCCCTGCCCACAGCGAGCGAACAAGGAAATCCCACAGAACCGCTTACGCCCGCACTCCAACACCCGCCGGCCTACAGCTCCGCAGACCCCGCCCCTTCCGCTCGCTTGGCCCGCCCCCTCCGCCAGCTTCCCTTCTCAGGCCCCGCCTCTTCCTCTCACGCTCTTCCCAGGCCTGTGTCTCCTCTCGCCGGGTCCCGGGAGGTGTGTGGCTTCCGCCGCAACTCTAGCTTCTCGGCCATGGAGGTCCGCAAGAGGAAGGCCTCGGGCGGTCAGGAAGGCACGGCTTCTGCTGCGGGAACAGCCAAGCGGGCCCGCACGGAAGAGCTCACCGGCGTGCGGTTCAAGATTCAGCTGAGGGACCCGCAGGGCCCCGGGCCGGGTGAGTGCGGGTCGCGGGGCCGGGGCAGGAAGCACGTGCAAGCGAGGAGGCCTTTTGGCTGCAGTCTGGATCCAGCCAGACACAGCCTTTCCTTCTGCAGCTTTTGGTCCCTGAGGTCAGAGCCAAGCCTCTGGTACTGGAAGAAGCAAGCTCCAGTGATTAGGCGTCCAGGGTCCCGCGCCAGCCTGGGCTGTCAGCGGCAAGCAGACCCTGACTGTGTGACAGCTTCCTGCGGCCACGCGTTTCCCTTGCTCTGGCAGCAACCCTCAGCAAGCTTTAAAACCTCTTTACTGCCCTTGTCAGGAAAATAAATGAAGTGCACACATTCACGCATCAAGTGATGCTTGAGTCCCCACTGTGAGTCAGCTGGGGCAGTTCACCGAGACAGCACCTCGCTGTTCCTGGGCTGTCAGCACCGTTTTCTATATCTTTGATCCTCTAACACTCAGGTTGACCTACTAACACACCACGACCCCTCACAAGTACTTGTCACTTGTCCAGGGTTAGATCAGAGACTGGCATTAAGCACATTCTGTAATTTAATTTGTAAAGTATGACCGTAATTCACAACTATTTGTAATCTTTTGAAAAATACAGAGATTTTATGAGGCAAAGACACAATTAAACATGTTGTCTAGTGGAAACGTTTCTTCCAGCTTACAGAAATCACTAAATTGATAGAATATGGTCATGTTCTAATTTTTCTCCTACAGATTTTCTTTTTAAAATGCTTAATGCTTGCCCTTTCTAGTCAATACTGGGAAGGTGATTTCTACTTTAGGACAGAATTACACATTTCACTCATGAATTTGTTCATATAATGTTAGGGTGGAGATAAAGCGGTGAATAAAAATATGACACAGGCCTTCCCATGTGGGTGAGGCAGGATGAGCAATAAAACCACATATAATAGTTCCAAGCCAAGTCCTCCAAAGGAACTGTACGTAGTACCTAAGGGTGCTTAACAGGCCTGGGACCTAAGCGTGAAGATGAAAGAAGGCCCCTCCAAGGAAGTGACTTTTCAAAAAGGGTTTTAGGATGGGACAGGGTGAGGAGCCTTTCTGGCAGGACAAAGAGCATGTTCAGTTATTGAAAAGATGCTATACCCATATTTCGTGGTTCAACCCAGAGAGCACCATGACATTCAGGTGCTGTGTCATTGAATAGATGTCAGAAGGGCAATTGGTGGACAGGTTCTGGATGTAAGTGCGGTAGCTGAAAGATGCCACAAAGGTGAGATAGTGAAAGTGTGAATCTCTTGTGTGAGGCCGCGTGTGGTTTAGGTATCTAGTCTGTTTCTTGAATTCTCTTTCTCTTTGTTGGACAATCAAATCAGGGAAATAGAATTGATGGGTGGGTGTTAGAGAATTCTGTTGTCTTGTACCCCGAGGGAAGATTCCTGTGTATGCTCCCTTCCTGTAGTGGTAGGCTTAGGTTGGTAAAGGCACTCAGTGGATCTAGTCATCCAGTCAGCATCAGGGAGGAACCTGGGCTGAGAAAGGCTCTATCTCAAGCCAGTTCCAGACTTCACTGGCCAGAGGAAAGGCCATCTTGTGAGTAGGAGTACTCTAAAAGTTAACCTTTTGCTCTTCTGTCCTCACATTGCCTCTGTGTCCCCTTCATGGTGAGGGACAATTTGATTGCTTGGATGTTCCTGCCAGAACTCTCTTTGTGCCTCAGTTCATCCCTGGACCTTGATGATGCTCCAGAGTGCTCCCCTCTGTCACCCTCATTATTTAGTCCAGGCTCCGTCAGTCTTTGCTGGGATTGGCCAGAGCTGCCTGAGGTTGTTCTCTCTTCTACTCTTGCTCCCCTGTACTCCTTTTCGCATGGGGCAGTCATAAAGTTTTTTTTAATGGTATTGGTGATCAAACCCAGGGCCTTTGCAGTGAGCTACATCCTTAGCCCTTTTTATTCTTTTCATTTTGAGTCAGGGTCTCACCAAGTTGCCCAGGCTAGGCTTAAACTTGTGATCCTCCTGCATCAGCCTCCCAGACTGCTGATATTACTGGTATGCACTGCCATGCCTGACTCAGATGATCTTTTAAAACTTCAAATCGGATCATGTCATTCCTCTCATGACATCCTTTGTTGGTATTCCCACAAGTCATTACCATTACCTACCTGCTTCTTACATTATCATTCAGCCCTGCGTACTTTGCTTTCATGTTAGGCCACCCTCCCCTTACGCACCTCCTGACTTACCTCCCAGGTTCCAGCCAGCTGCACTCCGCCCTCCAGCCCTGGGGCCTTGGCATGGTCTTGACCTGGAACCATGTCTCAACCCTGCCTCCAACTCATTCTTACCTGTTTCCTTATCAGGTTTATCATTACTTAAGAGAGAATTTCAGGTAATCTCTCACTACACCGTTGACTTTTGCTTCATAGCACTTAATACAGTTTGTAATTTTTGCTTCATGGCCCTTACGACAGCTTGTGATGCATGACTATTTCAGGGCTTGTGGTAGGTATTTGATAAATATTTATGGATGAGTATTGGTCACTGCCATAACGTGAGGTACTGTGTGGGTAAAAGCCGTTGCCAGTTCATTCACCAGCACATCCTAGGCGCCCGGTGTAGTCACTGGTGTGTGCAGTAGGTGCTCAGTGGATGGTGAATGGAAAGAGGTGCAGAGATGGCAAGTACAACGGGCCATCAGTTCCCACCTGCCATAGCCTGGACTTCCTGGGGTTGTATGTTAGGGTTTGGCAAAGGAGTCCTGGAAAAAGGAATGAGAATTAGCACTCTTCTCCCTGTAGTAGCAGCCCTTGCTGTCTCTTGCATTCCGAGTCTTCTTGAAGGAGAGCGCTAGGGTATTGTGAGTGGCTCCAGGGTGTCCTGAGGATTTCCCTCTCGTGAGCTTGGGCTGTGTGTGTCAGAACACTGAGGCCCTTGCTCATTACCTCGCTGGGCTACGCTGCAGATGCCCGGGCAGTGCTTGCGCGCCAAGGCGCCCTATTGGTGTTTAAGGTAAATGTTTTAAGGAGCAAGTGTGGCCGCTGGGGAAAATGCTGCACTGAGGCATAAAGTGGGTTCCAAAAAGAAGAGTATGCAAGGCTGGCAGAGAGCTGAATGTGACCAGAAACACTGCTGCTGTTGAAGACCTTGTGGGCCTTTTGTTTTTTTCAGAGGTTTGCCTTGCACTGTCTGTGATGCTGGATTCCCTACAGGTGAACTAGGCCCCTTGCACTTCATGCAGACTGTTGGCGTGTGCAGAACTGGGTGGTGCTATGTATGCCTGAGGACTTGAGTCAGGGATGAAGCTGCTGTCCAGGAAGAAAGATGTGTCGGTTTGCTGTGGACACCCGGTGGCCTTCCCTGCAGAACCCAGTCCTCTTCTGGGTCTCATGCTTCAAGGGCATGCAGAGAGTGAGCTGAACACCTTAGTGGGAACACCTTCTGGGCCTCGAACTGGAGTCTCTGGAGAGAGGCTGAAGGCTGCGTGTGCCTTGATAGGTGCAGGCTCCAGTGGTGGTAGCTGGTGTGAGAAAGGACTTGGTCCTCTGCATGTGGCTGCAGAGCAGAAGAAGAGGAGCCCTGGGGAGGCAGGCAGACTGCTCCTGCCCTAATGTGATACTTAGATGAAGACTTGGGCATTTCTCTATTATTATTACTATTATTATTATTATTATATTTGCAGTACATAATGTTTACATTCTTTGTGGGGAGTTGGTACACGTACATAACATCCTCTCTGTCTCATTTTTTTTTTTTTTTTTTTT